CTCTATTTGGGCTTGTGAGACAATCTATGTAGAATGCTTGTCAAGGTATCTATCCTATTAGGACCTACGAGTAGCTACTGCATAAGAATAAGCCAAATAGATTAGCTCCGTGTTTTCCCAAGGTCATTCACCCACTTAATTCATCGTGTGCAAGTGAAAGTTCCATCTCTATACAGCTCGACTCCCCTCCTAAGCTCCAGTCGGACCCTACAGCCAACTAGGTACTACATTTGGATTTCCCAGCAGCACACACAAACCCATTACATCTTCCTTCTGTTACCATGTCACACATTTCACCGAGCGAGAAATCTTAAGCCATATTAAATGTGTTCCTCCTCTTACCATTCAGTGCAATGAGACCTCAAAGCCTGGTTCTGCCATATAGTTCGTAAAATCAGGTCTTACCATCTGGTCACATCTCCTTGTACACTGAGTGGCTCTTAGCTGCACTCTGTCCCCAGGTTCTCTCCTGTCCACGCTGTCGGGCAGTTATTAGAATGCTCTACATGGCGCACATTTTTCAGGAAAGCACTCAGTTGAAAGCGTCTAATTCTCCCCTTCCTCCCGAGCACTACGGCTGAGTCTCAGCTTGCCCACCCACACCTGAAAGACACTGTAACGTGGGCTTGGCTGGTAGGAAACGAAGTAACAAGTGCTAATGACGAGGGCCTCACGAGCTGAGACCAGTCTAGTTCACTGATCAGGCTTCTCAGGGGGAAAGACCAAGGACCGAGAAGGAAGAGCACAGGGATGCGCGCTGGGGACCTGAGGGAAGAGCTCCCTGAGGTGGAACGACGCAAACACAGTGGGAGAGAGCACCTCTGCCCCTCAGGGCCCCCAGCTTCCCGGCTCTGAGCTGCAGACTGGAGCAGCCGTCACTCCGGCCACTGCGCAGTGCGGGGCTGGTCTACCAAGCACCTCCGGGCTCTGCTGGCCAGAGCATCTGCGTCAGAGCGCGATCGCAGAAGTTCTGAGAACGCAGGTCCTCGACACTGGCATCCGACGCCGCCAGCCCCTCGTGCCAGCCAGTTTCCTGCCTAATTACTCTCCCACCGTTCCTGCCACTTCCATCTCATCTGCTTCTACCTCGAATGACCTTACGCTGCCTGTCTGCTGGTGAGGTCCACATGTCCGGATCAAACTGCCAAGCCCCTTTCTTGAACAGCGAGGGTTTCACGCTCTCCAGGGCCCGGTTACCTGCAAGGGAAGGAAGGGAAGCAGACAGGGTAGGAAATGGAGTCCTGGAGGAGTGAGGACGTCCCAGCCACGGACCTGTCCACAGGGAGCCGCTTCTGAGGGCCAGTGTCCCCCTCCCCCGGAGCGAGTGCGGGGGATGCAAAGTGCGGACATTTTCTCCAGTGCATTGAGTGGTCGCTTTTCTTATTTTAAGCAACAGAAAAAGGCAGAATGATTTATTTTCAGATGGCAAAGCCAGCCAGATTTCTAGAGATGAAAGATTATCTTGTACTCCGAATACTGAAGTGTCGGGGTGCTGCCAGTGAGGGAGGCCGGTAAAAGCCGAGGAGAGGTGAGACTGGCTCTGGACAAATGACACCCGCCTGACAGTCACACACAGCGAGTACCGAGTACCCACACGGCCCCCCTCCTCTCAGCTGTCCGCTCCCCTCCCTCCTGCTCACCTGCGGCCGGCCGGAAGCAGCAGCACTCCAGCAGCACTCCAGCGCTCCAGCGCTCCCTTCACTCTGTGGTTCTTTCCCGGGACACAGGGAGGCTGGGAGGAGCTTCCCAGGGTGTCTGACCCCGGGGTGTTCACGCGGCAAACACTCCATGCAGCCAGCCTCATTTATTGACAAGTCCTAATTTTATTGCCCATTTAGTAACATATTTGTTGCACAAACTAATTTCTCATAAAGCAAAGCACAACTTTTTCTTATAAATAGTATAAATTATTTTATTTACAGAAACTTGTTACAAAACAAATAGACTATATATTTCTTCTCTTTTAAATATCCAAAGTAATTTTCTATCCCTTGACATTTGTTCATGTTCTACACAGCAGCCAACACAAGTCCAGCTGAGATGCTCTTGATTATGTGTACAAATTATCAAACTATTCACACATTTCAACACAGGAGATTGCTTTTAGAACCAAGCTCAAAAACAGCAAAATGCTTTCACGGCCCTACATTCACACTGACAGTATGTAGTGCTCATTTAAATGATCTGACAATGTAAATTGTTTTGCACAAAATGTAAAAACGATTTTCTTCTAAACAATGAATCTTTTAACAATCATTTTTCAAAGTCCACCCCCCACCCCAGGACAGAATGAGACATTAAGAAATTCCTTGGCAACAGAACTCTCTTGCAGGAAGACAGCTGCCTTTATCAGATACATTTTTTAAATTACACATTATTTTCAGTGTTCTCAGAGGTACTTTTTTGTATTATATTTTTGGAATACAAAATATTTAATATTCTCTTTAAGCTCTGTATCCTATGCGTGAATAACAGGACAGACATGTGAGCCACTGGCTGACACTCCTGCAGCCCTCGGTGCCACTGGGCAGTCTGTCACCAGCTGAGTACTGAGACCAAAAGGCCAGAACTGTGAAACGCCTCACAGTCACCAGCACTGGTGCTTTTCAACTCCTCCCCGTAAAATTTTAGAAACAATATTGAGGTGGAAAAAGCAAACTCCAAAAGTTCAACTGAACATTCAAGTCTTTTTAAAGAGAATCTGTCTAAGCTTAAAACTAGGTTCAGGCACTTTCAGTTTTTTCCATTAGTTTTAAACCACATCACATACTAATAACATACATGTGCTCAGTGTACACACATGGGCACATATGCACACACATGTGTGCACGCATGCGCACACACACACACACACACACACACAACACTAACAAAAGAAAAGCAGTGTGTCACTTAGTTCCATGTAGTCTATAGGGAAATCGGGCAACTAGGGAGAAGCAGTGCCCACTTCACCCGCACGAACCCACTTCCGGACAAGGAAAGGGACGCAGACGTTCACAGGACAGAGGCGTCCCTCTAACGGTGAAGGAGGCGGGCTCTAGGACTATTGGCTTGGCAGTGAACCACTTCAAATTATAAAAAGGTATTTACTTTTATTAATTAATAAATAAATACTAGATGATCTCAATTGTACCAAAACAGGGTATCAGAAAAAAAGACCTGTGCAAAAATACATATTTAAATATGTACAATTCATCTTTAACAAAATATGTCTTCTGAAATAGGGATACTTCCATATTTATAATAGAACAAGAAATCCCAAAATAAAGATACAAAAGTAGGTTCTGTATAATCCTTTGTTCATCATTGCAGCACTTTTTTTTGTAGGTTATGAAAACTGCAGAAGTTGTCATGAAATTCTATTGGAAAGAATATAAAAATTATCTTGGTTTTAAATTGATACCAAAGTCTGTCTAGAAACAACCCAACCACTGCAAATTTGGTTTTTGTAAGTTAATTTAATTCAAAAAAATACTTGTACTCCCGTGTTTTCTAAGTGGTCTTAATTGTTCATCATAATAAAAAGTAGTTACTGAAGAAAATAAAATATTTGAACAGTCTAAAATTCAACAGCACTGTTAGAATAGATAGGTCTGTTTGCGGCAGGCAGAATCCAAAATGGCTAATTTCCTAATCCCGATGCTCTGTGTGTTACCGGGAGACATAATGAAATTCAATTAAAACTTCAGCCTAAGAAATCAAATGATCAACACTCGCTAGTCTAAGTATCTACATTATCCTGAATCAGCTTGCTATCATGGGTCCTAGTCACATCTTTCAGAACAACATGATCTGTCTTGTCTATAAATTCCATCAAGAAAAACAACTTAATTTATAACCACCAAGTCCCCTTGGCTCTGAAAGTAAATTCTTCCCGTACCCCATTGCACTTGTTACCAAGGAATCAACTAAGTACGTTCTGATTCCCTCTCACCCCACCCCCGCTGGGATGGAACCAGGCTGATTTTTCCAAACCACACCAAACTGGCCATCCATGCATGATCTCTCCTTAGTAGCTCTCATATAGTATCTTTTAAAAAACATTTACTGATTGATTGCATAATAAGTGAACAAGACACTGTTCGCCTCTTCCTTTAAAAAAAAAAAATCAGTATTTTACATCAATTTATAGCTAAAGTATCTGCATAAAGTCATTGTTTTCTTACATAATAAGAATAATTCTGTAGCAATTCACATTATTAGGCTGGTAACCAAGTATTTATTCATTCTACCTGTTGTTGACTTGAAATTCCCTGAAACTTAAGTTTGTAACCCAAGAACTATAGGGAAACAAAGGCTGCACTGACCGGCTCTGTCCAGGGCAATGACCCGAGCCTTGAACTCTTACCCTGTGTCCAGCCACTCTGTGCCTTCTCGGGAGAGGGCCTGGGTCTCGGCCCAGGAGCGGGGGAGGTGGGGGCCGCCAACCCTAGCATGCAGTGGCCCTCCTCAAGCTACGCTGTTCTAACACAGAGAGCACGCTCCGGAAGTATCCCGGAGGCTCCCAAACACTACACCAGGAAGACATGGCACGGATTCCAAGAAAGGGTGTGGGGTCGGCAGCAAGCACTGCGCACCCAGGACACCCTGTGCAGGTGCTGTGTGGCAGTCCAGGTGCCCTTGGATCTGCACCCAGACTCCCTTCACCAGGCTGAGGGGCGGGACACACAACCAGGGGCCCTGGAGGAGACACAACGGTCCCAGGACAGCATCCAGAGGCAAGGGTAACACCTGGGAAAGATTTACGTACACCCTAATAATTTCACTTTAAGAAGGCAATTAAAAAAGACTGGGTAGGACAGTCGACCCAATCTGACACACTGTTTAACATGACAACCTAAAGGATAAAAAATTCCATCTCTTTGGAAGTCTTGGAAGAAGCCCCTGCGCCCCAACTGTGATTTTATGTTCCCGCCCCTCCCCCTCCCCCAGGCTGGCTTTCCGTCAATCACACTAGTTTGCATTTTCTTCCTTTTCTTAAGTCACACAGAATTGCTTTTGTACCATGAAAAGTTAGCCTCCACCGTGGTTTACACTTGCTGTCTGGGCATCAGTGCTTCAAAGCAGTTTGGAGGTTTCAAAGTCGGCAGCTTCTTACTCCAAATTACTTGCGAGGGCGGGGCGGCTCCGTCCTGACGGCTGGCACCGGTGTCCACTGCACTGCGGACACCCCACGGCGTCGCCTCCCTTCCAGGGGCTAAGCACAGCCCTCCCCCTGCGAGGTCTCAGGTTCCCAGAGTCAAGGTGCCCACCCGCTGGAGCGCAACCCACCGAAGAGTGTGGAAAGTGGTGGGCAGGGAGAGGGAGAAGGGAGAGTCTATGGCAACGCTCCCGCCTACACGTTCCTTTGCCCAGCTGCCAGTCAACCCCAAGAGTAGCTCCGTGATACACTGCAAGTAACAACACATGAGACACCAACTTCTCACAGTCCAGACCACCGTAACACCGGTAGAAGCAGTTGGGCTGCCGGACCCAGCGTCCTTTAGGGTACTCACTGCTACAGAGCGAACTCCGGAAGGTCCTGGGAAGCAGCTGCCCAGCAGCACCCTTGAGGCCACGGAGGCTGGAAGAGGCTCAAAGGCATCGTGGAGTCCAGAGCGCGGAGTGGAGGTGTAACTTGTCCTCAAAAGCGTCTGCACCGCTCCTCCTCGTGCTGTTCTCGGCTGTCAGGGACGTGCCTTTGGCTTTCAAAACAGAGGGATGGGGAGACAATGAAGGGTAAGCAAGCAGCTATGCGCCCTGGTTCTAAACAAGAATAGCCCAGCTGTGGAACGTGGCCTTAGCTCTCCTAGCCTTCACCGCCCTGGACACAACTCTCGAGATTTACTTTCAGAAAACTGGCTAGAGCAGATGTGGGCCTGGTTTCCAGCTTACCGGTAGACCAGAATTAGCCTTTGGGTTCTGTTTTCGGATTCTGTGCCCTTGAAGGTTTTCCAGGTGCTTCTTTTTTTTTTTTTTTGGTACCGGGGATTGAACCTGGGACCTTGCACTTGGCAAGGCAGGCAGCGGAACCACTGAGCCAAATCCCCGGTGCTCCAGGTTGTTAAGTGAGAGAAAAACAAGGTCACACGGGCTGGAACACACAGGTGTGACAGCTCAGATGAGGCAAGGGGCAGGAGCCTGGGCCTGGCAGTGGCCAAATGAAACCTGTGGCGGCAGAGGGGCTGGTGCCGGGAGTGCCTGCCCAAATTTGCCCTGGTTCTGTTTTCGGAGTCTGTGCCCTTGAAGGTTTTCCAGGTGCTTCTTTTTTTTTTTTTTTGGTACCGGGGATTGAACCTGGGACCTTGCACTTGGCAAGGCAGGCAGCGGAACCACTGAGCCAAATCCCCGGTGCTCCAGGTTGTTAAGTGAGAGAAAAACAAGGTCACACGGGCTGGAACACACAGGTGTGACAGCTCAGATGAGGCAAGGGGCAGGAGCCTGGGCCTGGCAGTGGCCAAATGAAACCTGTGGCGGCAGAGGGGCTGGTGCCGGGAGTGCCTGCCCGGGCCCCACCCTCCACTTCCCAGCACGGCCCACAGCCCTGCAGGAACAGTGGGCTACGCTTCTGTTTTCTAAGAGCATGGGTCCCTCACATCCCCCTGGAACCTGTGGGCTCCTTTCGCAGGTGTGCACACACAGAACACGCCTCGGGAGGATCCCCCACGCTCTCCTCTCTAGCTGTGGCCCCAGGACTGGCGCAGCGTGATGAAACAGCATTCCATGACATGCGGGCAAGTCTTCTCCAACACAGACTTAAGGGAAAGAGCCCAGAGTCAGATGATGTGGGTTTTCCCTGGATGGTGACAAGTCAGAGGTGGCCAACTGGCAAGCCATGAGTACACACCTTGCCGAAAGGTATGTGGACTGCACCACATTAAAAATAAACACATTATCATATATGTGCTCTAAAAACAGCCACCTCTTACCTGCAAGTCCCGATCTGTAGTTCTCTTTAGAACTGTTAACAGAAGGGTCTGGGAGCAGAGCTTCCTGCAGATGGGACCTCTGGTCCCAGCCTCCCAGGGGCGCTGTACCACTCTCTGCGGGCCCTGCCCTGTGCTGCCACCTCAGCCATCCTTTTTGTTACCTGCGGGGAAGCTGAGTACAGTGGACCACCGAGTTACGACCAGCAAGACATACGAACACCTTGGGTTACGACCGGAATTTTAGTTTTAATTTATGACCAAAGTCTTGAGTTCCAACCTGAATGCTGGCCACTTGTGCTTCCAGATGGTCTCAGATACAGATCCAACCCTTAGAGAGCTCTGGAAGGAACATGACAGCGTCCTTTTCTATTTGGGGTTCACTGAGAAATCCTAAGCCAGGGTCTAAGGACCCTGAGATCTGCCTGTGCACAGGGAGAGATTTTGAAAGCTGTGGAGTGGAGTCTGAGTCACATCTTGAGTTACAAATGGCCCTTGGGAATGCACTGAGTTCGTACGTCAAGGGTGCATTGTGTCCACTGCTGTCTGGAGACATGGTTGTGTGCAGCAACACAAGCGTGGGATGGGCAGGGCAGCCCTGGAGGCGGGGCAGGTGCGTCAGGACACCCACACTTACAGGGCTCGGAGGGGTGGGTGCTGCTGCATATGGCCAGCAGGGCCAGCGAGCCTTTTGTGACACACAGCCCGCAGGGCACACATGCCACAGGTTTGCCACCGCCGAATTACATCCAGTGGCTCTGAAGCAAGATGCATACGAAGCCCTCCGTTAGTCTGTAAGCTGGCAAAGTGAGCCTTACACCATATACCTGAACGTCTGCGACTTGAATGTTCACAAATTGGGGACTTACTGTACACCACAATTTGTATTTCCCAAGAAACCTGCTTTAAAAAACCAAACAATATACTAATAGCTTATAATTTAAGCAGCTACTTAAGTTCAGTTATTTTCCCCATACCTTGACATACAGATAGCAGAAGGAAGTTATGACAGTGAAAAACTCCTTGGTATTTTCTAAAAAATGCCTTATGTGGCATCTGAGATAAGTTCTGAAGATAAGGAAAGGTGAAAGAGATGTAAAAAAAAAAAGAGCCTCACATTTTAAGTCAGGGCTCTGGGGTGCTGCTGCTGAAATTCCTGTTCGTAAGCAAGGTGAGAAGATACCCTGGTGAGCGAAATAACAAGAGGAGAGATGAGCTGGAAGTTAGAGCAAAGGAAGCTGGAGGAGGCAGTCACGAGAACCAACAAGCAGAAGGTCAAGGACAGACAATGCCACAGCACAGCAGAGAGTCACGGTCAACTGTGACTGGGACACCGCTCAGCCACTCCGAAGCCACCCTCAATCTGCTTTCTAAACTATTAACTTGGAATGAGGTTTTAAAAGTCTTCAGTTACACCTGCACCAACCCTTGAAAATAGGGAGAAAACACGAGGTGAAAGTTAACTAGAACATCTCAAACTGCTCGACGTGAACACTGACAAGCTTTCTTTGAAGTCTGAACTCATCTTTCCAGATCCCTGTGGTATAGGCCCAGCACTGTTGGAGGAACTCATGTGCACAGCCTCTCTAGGAAGTGACGCCGGCTCCCTTAACAGCACTGGGCCCCCAGCCCCTCCAGTGCTGTCCTCGGCCCTGTCTGCCAAAGGCATTGTTCCAGCTTCCTTACCCCGGAGTGTCTTTGGAAGGCATCAGAAATTCTGCAGAGGGGCTTTTTACCTTCACACATCATGGACTCATCCCCCTTTTTAGGAGACACCATGAAGCGGCTGTTCACAGGCAAATCAACTAACCCAAACGCACAGGTCTGTGAGCCGGTAACAGATCCAAGGGAGGGGCACCGGGCATCCCAGGGGGCTCGCAGTCCATTTCCTACCTGGTGGAGGAGGGAACTGTTCGCCAGCCCTTGTGCCCCTGGGATGGTGCCTGTGTGTTTCATGTGGACGTTGTTCATGGCTGGCAACTTGGCAACCTTCGTGGGTTTGCTACTGCTGTTGCTGATGCTGCTCGAGCCTGGGGAGCACTTTCTCTTCTTGCCTATGAGCTTGTCCAGAGGAGTGTGGGACTGGGGGAAACTGCTGTGGGAATTCACAGGCAGCTCGCTGGCCTGGTGCACGAACGGGCCCAGCGAGAGTGTGGAGTCGCCACTGTTCACCATCACACTCATGCGCTTGATGGACTCCGTGGGGCTCCCGCCGGGGGGGCCCCTCCCTGACTGCTCGTGCCGGAGGCTCCCCGAATGCACACGGTTTGTCACGCAGTTGAGGCTCAGGCCATGGGACGACGTCACTGTGGACAGGTAGGGAGGCCCGGAGTGAGCCACACAGTTTTTCCTAAAAGACTCCATGGAATGAGAAGAAGAGGAGGAGGAGGAGGAGGAGGAGGAGTGAACTAACAGTGGGGAACTGTTTTTGCGTTTCTTTCCTGAGCCACTGCTGCTGCTGCTACTGGCGTTGTAACAGTTAGTGCCGGCACCAGAAGCCTCCTTGGGCCTCACAGACTTGCTGCATTTCAACTTGGGAGGCTTCCTGGACATGGGGGAGGAGGGGACGGAGGAGAGACCCGAGGGCGCCGGCGGGGAGGAGGACGAGGACGCAGGTCTGGACTGCAATCCGCACACAGGGTCCACGGCCCCAGAGGTGGCAGGCTGTGCATTCAGCGTGGTTCCGTGCGCTGGTACCGCTTTGCTGTTTGGGGAGATGCAGGCGGGTGACAGCAGGGCGGGGGGTGTGGAGACAGTAACTGCTGCGAGGTAGCCAACCCCGCACTGTGACATCGGCACAGAGTTTGTCCGGTGAGGAGCTCGCGTGGAGATGGGCGATGCGGCACTGGACACTGGTGGAATTTTCCTGTAAGAAGGAAGAGGCAGTGAGGCTGAGGGCACCGTATGGCAGCACAGGGTGCTGTCCACGCAGGTAGCACCGTGGCCTATCCCCTCTGCCTCACACCCAGCCACGCTGGCGCTGTACGCCAAGGAAAGGCCGACCCCTGCCGGGCCTCTCCTCAGACTCATCCTGACACGCGGACTTACTCAGTGGCCCCCAAGACTCCCACACTGGAGCTCAGGTCCCACCGCAATGTGGTGCCGAGACCACAGAGGCCCTCAGCAAACAGAGGGACCAGACCGGGAGCTGGCTGACAGCTGCAGAGGGACCAGGCCCTGCACAAGGGGGCTGTGGTGCTGTGGTGTCTGGACAGGCAAGGGAAGTCCTCAGCCTGAAGCTCACAGCCAAGGCGCCAGCCAGGTGAGGTGGTGTGCCTGCAGCCCCAGCTTCCTGGGGAGGATCACTTGAGCCCGGGCAGCACAGTGAGTCCTGAACCAAAAAGCCCCAAACATGAAATAAAAAACAAAACTAGCAAAACACAAGGTCACACCCTCAGCTAAAGCAAGAAGAAGGGCCTGACTGGAAGGCCAGTGCCCAGCCTGCCTGCCCGCCTTCAGGTCCTAGGGAGCCCAGCTGTAACACCCTCCCGGCCACACTCCAGCTCCCCCACTTCCTGGGGGCTCAGCTGGCCTTACTACTACCGCAGATTCCAGAAGCCGGGCAGGAAAAGCAGTGAAGAGGAAGCAACAACTGCAAGTACCTGCAGCCACTGAAGAACTGTTCCAAGGGTACAGCATAGTGCAAACCACAGCTCACGCCTGAACTTAGGGCTTCTCCATTCTGGCTGTGCGGGGCAACTGCCTCAGTTTGAACTACATACAGTGATGTCAGAGTCCTGGGAAGCGACTCCAGCCAGCAGCCCAATGGTGGAGCTGGGCTCTCGTCCCTGCACTCATGTAGGAAGCGGGCAGGCACCGCAGATATGCGTTAGAAACACTGTTCCTGGGTCCCAGCCCGCACGCCAACACAGCCAAGGATCTGCTCAGCTGCAGGGGCTGCTGTTGGCCCCGGGTGGTTTACAGAACCAGGCCCAAGGACCAGACTTTTATGTACCTTCGTTTTTTTTTTTTTTTTT